AGAATTTTCTCTTTGATCAACTCTCTTCGGTTTCTGATTGTGCTCTCATGCTGAGCCCTTTCCATTTGCATTACAATTTCAGTCCTTGGTTGGTGAGAGCTCTTTTTAAATGTTCGCCCTTCAGTTTTGTAGATAACTGAGGTTGCAGATATGGAGTTTATACCATTAAAATAATCATAGTTTTGAGTTAAGACTGGAAAAAGAGGAGTTAAGCATTATGGTTGGTTGAAGGTCTGTCAATGCTTCCCTGATTCCCTTCCACTTCCGTGGATTTCCCATCTGTTGGACGGGTGTATAATAACACTTACCTCATATGCCTCTTGATGGAATGAAGCCTGTATCGTGCATTTTTCTTTGGAGAAAGATTACAATTATGGCATTTGAAATCCAAGTATATATCTAGAGAATGTGGGAATTACTTGTCATTATGTAATTTCTTATGAAAGCATTGTCTAAAATAGCAGATTACAGAACAGAAAAAATTGGGTGCAATTGCAGGAAATGAGACTGAAAAATAATTCAGAGTTAGTTTATGAAGGGCCTAAATGCCACCCAAAGGAGTCTGAATTTATTCTGTAGGACATGTTATTTTCTGAAATATATCCCACAGAACGCTTGTGCTACAGGATGTTAATATGTCTAGGTCAAGCTAGATTAAATCCAAGCTTTAGCGTAGTCCTTAAATATGCTAATATGCATCGTGATTCTCTAAGGGAGGGTTGTTTGTTGTTTTTCTCAAACGCAACAATATAACTTGGTAATGGGCGCCCAGGGAATATGAAGAATGTTTCAGCTTGGCACATTTAGGGCAGTTAATTCTAATATTCTGGGCACCTTCAAGATGCCAGATAGTCATTACCTTGTATCGTATGTAGCCAGGACACAGCAGATTGTGTATCCAGCACACAGTAGGGCTTAGTAAACAAATGGAGTGAAAGAAATATCTGAATAGTCCTCAGTTACCTTACTTACAAAATGGGAAAATTATATAATTGCTAATAGATTGAAGAGTTGGAGAAAAGTGGTCCCAGAGTATTTTGACACCAAGAAGTATTTTTTAATTCAAATAAAATTGAAACAGATTTACAAATGAAAAAAAAAAGGTAAAAGGGAAAATATATTGAATTACTGTCTAGCTGTATAATCGTTGCTTAACCTTTCCAAAGCCCATTATCCAATCATGCTTACCTTGAAATGCTCCAATACTCTAAAAACCATGTGACTTGGGCCCAGGGGTGGGAGTACATGGTGTTGTGGTTAAGAGCAGAGGCTAGGAGCCAGACCTGGGTTTGAATCCCAGCTCTGCCTCTAACTGTGTGATACCTACTATGTGTGTAACCTTAAACAATTTAATTTTTCTCCCACAGTTTCCCTCATCTGCAAAATGGGAAAAATAAGTGTACTTATCTCAGAGGGCTGTGGTGAGGACTGCAAATGAAAAAATTAATGTTGTATATTAAGAAACATTCACAGCTATTCTTATTTCAAATTTTTTATGTAATAGGAAAGAGATGCTGAGGCCTGCCCTAATTTGTTCTTCTTAAACTGCAGCTGCTTGGCTGGTGCTTGGTCCCCATTTCCTCCTTCCTCCCAAACTGGGTGCTCACAGCTCATATTTAACCAGTGCCCTCCCTCACCAAGTTGAACTGCTGAGTTAGACCTTCTGTTCTCCAAACTCATACATATATGTGTGTGTGTGTGTGTGTGTGTATATATATATATATATATATATATATATATTCTTTTTAATATAAAAACCCACAGTGCTTATTTTTTGTTTTTACCATTAATATTCAGGTGCATTAGTGTTCCAAGCTGGTTGATATTTGGATTGTTTTCTCTCTGGATCACCTCCAAATGTTTGCCCATTCAATTGATGACCTCTTAAAAGACAGACGAACTCTTGGCTTGTAGAATTTAGAAGGAAATACACAGGCAAACTAGAAATAAGAGTAAGTACTATTCTGCATGGAGATATGTGATGAGAAAAGAGAGCCAAACCAAACTCCAAGATGTCTGTGTAGCTGGTTTGTTAGTGTCTTTGATATGCTGGTGTCATGTCATCACTACACTGGCAATTGAAAAAAATGTAAATAGGTGCTTGCATCGTTCCCACAATAACATTATTTTGATTCCATCCTTTGTCCATGTTAATGCACTTTCCCCCAAATCCTTTGAAGGTTTACATGGAATTCCTCAAATAGGCCAGGGAGGCCTCAGGAAGACAACAAGGTTTTTTTTTGCTTTTTGTGGTTTTTTTGAGACCGAGTTTTGCTCTTGTTGCCCAGGCTGGAGTGCAATGGAGTGATCTTGACTCACTGCAACCTCTGCCTCCCGGGTTCAAGCGACTCTCCTGCCTCAGTCTCCCAAGTAGCTGGGATAACAGGCATGCATCATCAACCCGGCTAATTTTTTGTATTTAATAGAGACAGGGTTTCACCATATTGGTCAGGCTGGTCTCAAACTCCTGACCTCAGATGATCCACTCACTTTGGGTTCCCAAAGTGCTGGGATTGCAGGTGTGAGCCACCACACCGACCCCCAACAAAGTTTCTTAAGAGTCCTCCAATAATCCCCCAAACTCTCTCTTTTATTTCAGATAGTGGGAGTCTGTGCTGATGCCAGTAAGTAAAGAAGAAAGAATCAGAAAGACACTGTGTGATCTAGTATTAATAAGGAAGTAAGTGATCAAATTACTCCAGCTAGATCAGTAGACTCTATCATCAAGCAAGTTGAGGGAGACAACCTTCACAAATGAACCATCTACATTTACACTCACTGATGACTGTGTTTCCTTGTGAGGACAAGTAAGCTTTTTAAATGATCAAGATATTTACATTAGTTTTGCTCTTCAATGGCTTTTTAAAAAAAAATCCAAAGGCAGAAGTTAAATTTAAAAGAGCTTTTCATGTGACTATCCCAAAGAGAGATGATCAATCACCTAGTTAAATATTTGTATACAAAATAATATCTGGAAGCACAGATTCCTGTGTTCATCAGATGAAGACTGAAAGACTTATTAGTCACCATGCTTTATTTACACTCCTGTTAAAATTACATGAAAATATTTCTCTCCAAAGAGCTGTTCTAGAAAACCCTTTAATACAAAGTGGTATGTGTATGTCTAAGAGGTTGCTCAGACAGTTTAGCTCAAAGGCTATGCTAGCAGTCTGGTAAACTGAATTCCACCACGTCATGACTTTCAAGTGGCAGGCTACCACCAGAAAGAGATGACTTCAAGCACAGATTGCTAGCAGCAAGGCCAGGATTAAAAACCCATGTGAAAATTGTCTTCAGAGAGAGGAAAAATCCAATCCATTAATAATTCAAAAGCCATCACGCCTGAGTTGTAAAAACATTTTCAACTCTGAGAATCTTTTCTTTTTACCAAGAAAACCACTTACAGTCATGGTTTAATGTCCCAAATTAAGAAACAGAAGACACTAAATTAATTTTTAATTTATGCTCCACTTGTAGTTGTTTTCGTTCATCTACTACTGCAAAATGTACACTGAACAGTATAAATCATATGCATCATTTCACCAGACAAGCTCATCTACCAAAATGGTGATAACACAATCTTATTTTGGAGCCAAAGAGAGTTATAAACATCAACTGTTTTCAGATATGCTTTAAAAATAGTTCTTTAAGTTTGTCCAAAAGTAACATCATTACCTTAAGTTACAGCACAATCATTAAAGGAAAAAAGAACCCAAGAACAAATGAAATTCATTATTATTTTACTACTTTTAGTGGAAAAATAAAACAAGATTTGGATTTTCATCCAGGATAAAGTAAAAAGACTCCTGTCAAATGTCAATTTTCTCATTAATGAACAACTTGAAACTATATTCCTGGGTCAACTTATTTCTGCTTGTCCTAAGTCTCTAGACCTGTCTTAATTATTTTTGTGTCTCAGGATCCATGACATAGATTTAAATAGACCCGTGGGCAAATCTAAACAGATTCGGTGACCATACTGTGTCGAGTCTATTTGTTTCTCTATAAAGCGACAAATTCAACCTTTAATCAGTAGAAGTCGATTCTGCCTAAATTCCTAATATAACTAATAAAATGTAGTCACCTTCAATAAAATAAATGCCCAGATACTATTTTAAAGGTTACAGCAAATCCCAGTCATACCTCTACCAAGGCTAACTATGCTGTACCTTAATCTGTTTGTTCTCAGAGCCAAAATCAGTGCTTCACCTAGATTCTCCTTTCCTAAAGAGTCCTTCAACTCAAAATAAATGCCTAGTTCTTGATGCAGAGTCATCACTAGTCAACCTTGGTCTTGGATATTCATGCTTCTAATAAACATGATTGATAATCTTGCTAATAAGCAATAATAATATCAATCTTGAATATTTATGCTTCTAATAAGATTGGAAGAATATCACTTGGGTACTTGCATAACTCCTAGTACCTACATACTCCACTCCTTACAAGCTAATCCAATGCCTTTATATTATTATTATTATTTGAGACAGAGTTTCACTCTTGTTGCCGAGGCTGGAGTACAATGGCGTGATCTTGTCTCATTGCAACCTCTGCCTCCCGGGTTCAAGTGATTCTCCTGCCTCAGTCTCCTGAGTAGCTGGGCTTATGGGCACATGCCACCATGTCCAGCTTATTTTGTATTTTTAGCAGAGATGGGGTTTCTCTATGTTGGTCAGGCCAGTCTTGAACTCCTGGCCTCAGGTGATCTGCCTGCCTCGGCCTCCCAAAGTGCTGGGATCACAGGCATGAGCGACGGCACCCAGTCTATTCTATTAGTATTATTATTATTAATATTTTGAGACAGAGTATTGTTATGTTGCCCAGGCTGCAGTGCAGTGGCACAATCACAGTTTACTGCAGCCTTGAACTTCTGGGCTCATGTGATCCTCCTGCCTCAGTCTCTTGAGTAGCTTGGATGACAGGCATGCACCACTACACCTGTCTAATTTTAAAAATTTTTTATAGAGATGGGGGTTCCACTATGTTGCCCAGGCTACTCTTGAACTCCTGGGTTCAAGTGGTCCTTCCACCTCAGTCTCCCAAAGTGCTGGAATTATAGGCATGAGCCACCATGTTCAACCTAACAGTGCCTTTAAAAACCTCATGGGCTACATTGAAAACATTATTATCATGTGTCAACTTATTTTGAAGCAAGTTTGCTTATAATTTAGAAAAGTCCTTGCAACACTTCTTGGGTCTCTCCAGTCACTCAGTTTTCTCAAAACTTTAAGTAGAAGCAAGACCTTGGCAACAAAATAACTCATCACATGGTTCAATGTATTATCTGTGCAATGGATTAAGTTTCCCTGTTGTCTTGCACACTGATCTCAGTTATAACCTAGGAACCAGAAATTATCCCCTCACTTTATAAAAATACTGTTTGAAAAGATTATTTAACAGCATCAACTTTTTAAATCAATGCACAATACTGAAAATCACTATCCATGTATTTTACCCTTCAGGGGTTAAAAAAATCTGAACTGTACTGACGGGCATTTTCTGTTGCTTCTTCAGATCTTTTATATTAACATTTAAGCACAAATGCCCTTTGTCAAGTGCTTTCAGTGCCAGTATCTGTGCTTATTCAAAGTTAAAAAGAAAAACAACCAAATAATTCGTAGTCTCTGCAGACAAAGGATTAATGGATTAACAAATAATAAAACTGAATGCAATTTCATGTAACCATATCAAACGTAGCGAAAGAATGTGGTTAATCTTTTGGAGTTGTCTAAAAGGATACAATCAATCACAACTTCCCTTTTTCTCTGCAATGATACACCAGTTGCCGTGATCATTCCCAGAACTCAGGATACGGAGCTCTGACACATTCTCTTTGAGCAGACCATAGAGCTCCCCTTCTCGAAACACATGGTAGTAGCGCATAAAGGCTCTGGAGTCCAAAATATCGGGCTGTGGGTCTTCGACAGAAATTGTATCATCTGGGTTGGAATCTGTGGAATCGACTGCAGAAATCCTTCTCAATATTTTATTAGCAGAAGGATTATCATCTTCTAAGTTACCCACACCCGCACAATTCACACTAGTATGAGTGCTATCCAGAAAATTCCTCCCTCCATTTCTCCTCATTTCTCCTTGATGGTCTCCATTTAAATGCTTCTGAGTGCCTGGTGCTCTCAGCCACTCTAAGTGCTTTTGAGAAGAAGGTTCCACAAACACTTCCTCATCTAAGCTTTGCTCTTTTGTTGAAAATGGCTCTTGGTGATCAAAGTCTAAACTAGAGTGTCTGGAAGGCTGGATTGTTACAGTGCTATTGGCCCAAACTTCGGTGTTTTTCAAGGGTCTTACCCTTTCAATTTGCTTCCTCAGAGTCGATTCATCCAAAGATCTGGAGAAAAACCAAGAACGAAATGATTTTCCTAATGTGTTGTAGAATCCATATTCTTCCTCGCCTTCCTTAGAGATATTTGCAAAACAGGTTCTTGCCATAGCAGGTTCATAGTCCACACTGTGGGACCGTTTTGAACCACACTGCTCTTTAAAACAAACAGAACAGCTACACTCGGAGCAAGGAGGATGGTAAGGATGGCTTCTTTCTGGGTGTCCACACTGCCTCTTCCTCCCGGATTGGCTGGACTCTGAGAAAAGCTGGGAACATAGGGCCCTGTTCCACGGAACAAGCACGTCTTGCTTCTCAAAGCGACGATTCTTCTGTTCCATTGCCCACACGTAAATCATCAGCTGGCCTCCAGGAACTAAGACCCTGGCCATTTCTTTTATTGCTCTGATTCTTCTTTGTTTTGTAGAAAAATGATGTATGACTGAAAAAGACAAAACTAGATCTCAATGTGTATACACACACATAAACCCACACACGTATATACTGGTATTTACCATATAACAATGATGACATTTTGACATCTAGTAAAACCTTCTTATTTTCTCCATGGCAACGATGACAGAGATAGCACAGGCCTGATTTTAGGAAAGACATAATTTTTAGCTTTGGCTCCTGTACTTTAATATTAGATAGCTGATCTTGGGCAAGATATTTAAGTTCTACAGATTTTAAGATTCATCCTGTATAAGAAGAAGTCTAGAGTCCATAAATCCATAAAGTCTCTTCCAGTTCCAGAATACTATGGATTTTTTTAACCAGAAGGATGGCCAATGTGAATTACTAAAATTTAAAAGGGATACTAAGTGTTCCCTGGTTGAATTCTATGAAGTAACTTATTGTTTTAGTGAATAATCTGCCCTTCTAAAGTAATGGAGGATTAATACTCCTAATAAGTGTTAATAAGGCTGAGAAGTAGAGAAATATGTTAAAGATTGTTTCTCTGTCTAGATAATGCAAAGATCAGCCAGCTCAGCATAAGTCCAACTGATTGCTTATAATAAAATATAAAATAGTTATATCTACTAAAAATCAATGTATAGGTCATCATTTTACTTTCAGTTTCTCAAAAGGCAAAATGAGCTTCAAGGAAGACTGCCTTTATCAAGTCCTAAGTGTGTTATTAGGCGTAATTTTATCCACAAATATACAGAAAGTGCTAGTCTGTTAGTTATTGGGGGAATTTAATCACAGTATTACGTCAAGAGAAAATTTTAAATTATTTTTCCCTACACAGACCTGCCAATACATCAGGGAGGAAATTAATCTCAAGCAAAGCTGGAAGAGTTTTGATATGTTGCCCAGGCTGGACTCAAACTTAACTCCTAGACTCAAATGATCCTCTCACCTCAGCCTCCCAAGTAGCTGGTACTCCAGGTGCCTACTGCCATGCCTATCTACCATAATATAGTTCTAAATGTGAAATCTAACTGAAAATAACCACATCACATTAATTCATAGTTACAGATCATAAAAACATGTGCTGTTTTTTCACTCAAGGAATGTGTGATCCTGTGGCCTTACCTCCTATGGAAATGATGGCATCGAAGCCCTGATCCCTAAAGGGGAGATTAAGGTTGTCACATACCATGACTTCACATCCTCTATCCCGGGCAATCTCTACCAATGGCCCACAGTAGTCACAGCCCACGGTATGCACCTGGCTGTTCACTTTAAGATACTTTCCAGTCCCACAACCTGTAGGAGAAAAACCTGCGTTACATGCTGTCCTCCATGGAAAGTGTAAAATGGTTCAATTGTCTCATATCAAGGAATATAATTAACTTTCTTTTTTTTTTAACTAACCAAGACAGAATACAACATGGTGTGAAGATATTCACAAAAGCAAAAGAAAAGCCTTCAAAGAATACTTACGTATTTTCATATAGAAGAGAGAAAGGCAATAGGAAAAAAATAACATTTATTTAATATTTAATGAGGTAATGTCCACAGGGCTCAGCACACTAGCACAACCAAGGCATGTTAGCTGGTCCATGGCAAGAAAGACATTTCTAGTATCCCAGAGATCCTGTGTAGCCTCTGCACTCACATCCATATTTCATTATGTATATATGCATGCTACACCATTTATTCTCCTGTTGTCTCCCCAAAGATTCTTACCACTTGCTGACTGCAAAACAAATGACTGTCAACAACTTTTCAATTATTTATACATTAAAACATGTCTTTCAAATTTTTAAAATTTGAACTTGAATGAGAAAAGAAATTTTAACATCGTTTTTATCCAATCTCTATTGTCAGCGCTACACTTAAACTGATCTCTGTGGATCCAGTATACAACTCGACTTATAAAAACTTTTTTTCTTAAATAGACAATTTTTGATATTCACTTTCCAGTGGCAGAGACCTAAGTAATTCAGGATTTACACAGCCCAAAGATTTAGATCATTGAGATCTTACTGATGTTATGATTGAAGAAGGTAGTAACATGAATAAATAACCACCTTGAAACAAATCTTTCTACAATCTAATACTTAGTATTATATTCTATCACGGATATATAATCTAATTCCTTTCCAGAAATAATAAAAGAAATCATTAGAACCTTTATTTGTATGAAAATATGACTATTTGTTGAATAGTTTAAAAAATATATATAGTACAAAATTCAAAAGACACAAATTGGCCAAAAAGATATTTACTACTGATGTCGTTGTTGATTTCCCAGAGGTATTTAAATAATATTATTTGTCATTTTTGTTTTTTCTTTTGAGCAGGGTCTCACTCGGTGTCACCCAGGCTGGAATGGCACCATCTTGGCTCACTGCAACCTCTGCCTCCCAGGCTTAAGCAGTCCTCCCACCTCAGTCTCCCAAGTAGCTGAGACTACAGGCATGTGCCACCACACCCAGCTAAATTTTGAATTTTTTTTTTTGTATTTTGTGTAGAAACGGGGTTTTGCCATGTCCAGGCTGGTCTTGAACTCCCGAGCTAAATGATCCGCTCACCTCGACCTCCCAAAGTGCTGGGATTACAGGTGTGAGACACTGCGCCCGGCCTATTTGTAGGGTAATTTGTAGTGGCAAAATACAGCAAACAATATATATTAAACGTTAATATGGCACTATTAGCATAGAATGGTAGGCAGCTTTTAATACTGGGTAGCTCTATAATAAATATAAATATGGAATGATTTCCTCAATACATTAAAAGTACAACAAAAGCTAGATGTGTAATTGTTTTTATATCATACTATCATTAGTGTAACCAAAAAAGGGAAACACCCATAACATACTCACAGGCACAAATATGCTTATATTTGCATAAAATATCTGAAGAAGATCATACAGGAAGCTAATAGAATCAGCAGCCTCTGGTGTGGCTTGCTTGGTGCCAGGGGCTGGGATGGGAGGACATTTTGTACTACACATCCTTTTGTGCTTTGTTGCTGAACCGTATCAGTGGGTTATCTATTAAAATATTTGTACACGATTTGTATTCCTTTCCTTTTTTGAACTATTTGTTCACATCTTTTTGTTATTATTCTTCTGACTTGTGGGTATTTTTTCTTTTGAACTTATTCCTGCTGTTTGATACTCTGAATCTTTTAACCAACATCTTGCACTTTCCTACATTTACCCCACTGGCTTCAACACTGCAGTCCCAGGTAACCACCATTCTAATCTCTCCTTCTATGAGTCCAATTTTTTTAGATCCCACACATAAGTGAGATCATCAGGTATTTGTCTTTCTGTGCCTGGCTTATTTCACCAGCATAATATCCTCCAGGTTCCTCCATGTTGTTGCAAATGACAGGATATTGGTCGTTTTTTTACAGTGACATTGAAGAATGCTTAGTAGATTTAAAAAATTATCTAGATTTCTATGACATGTGTTGCAGTTATTTTTACTTAGTTTGATGTTGGTCTTTTGACTTGATTTGTATGTCTGTCTAGTAGAACTTTTCCATTTTTATAGGGTCAAAGTTATCTGTAAATATAGTTAATTCTCATCAATCACAGCAAATACTTATTTGCAGTTAATCTACCTGCTAAAATTTATTTGTAACCCCAATGTCAATACTACAGCATTGCATGGTCATTATCAGACTTATATATTCACAGTGCAGCAAAATATTAGAGTCACCTGAGACCCACATGCCCAGCCTCCTTTCTTCAGCTCCCATACTGTATTCTTTTCATAATCTATTTAGGGCCACAATTTCTCCATTTTTACAGTTTTTACTGGTGATTTTTCTGTTTCAAATGGCCTAAGCATGGGGCTGAAATGCTGTCTAGTGTTCCTGAACATAAGAAGGCTGGGATGTCCCTCATGGACAAAATATATGTGTTAGATAAGCTTTGTTCAGGAAAGAGTTATAGTGTATTGGCCACGAGTCCAATGTTTGTGAAATAATGATACATAGCAAACAAGGTGACTTTAAACAGAAACACACAGTCAACAGGTTATATATTGGTAAATTGACAAAAATGTTAGGAACAGAAGCTTATAGGAACCTAATCCTATATTTCCCCTAAGAAAAATGATTCACTACTTGCTAATTCAATGTTTATGATACATATATGAAACGTAAGTACTGTGAATAATGGCAATCAACTGTATATTCTTTTATGATTTCTTTTTTGTATGTGTATCATACATAGGCATATTGCCTCTGGGAATATTTTAAATAACAATCTATTTGTCATCTAGTCCTTTAATGAGCTCATTTTCTTATGCTCACATCTTTGCTTCATTTGAAACTTATTTTGATGTAAGGTGTAAGAAAGTAGCTCTCTGATTATATATGTCATTATCTCAAAGCCATTTACTGAATAGTTCCTTTTCCCCACTGATTTTAAGATCCTGGTACATGGCTTACTTAGATTATAGGTGGCAAGAGTTCCAAACTCACTGCACATTCTGAAACAAGATTTATTATTTTTAAATTAATATGCTAGAGATTTTTTTTTCAAAGACTCCTAATTTCCATGTGACATGAACCCCCTCCCCAGATTTCACGTTGCTCATACCATCTTCAACAAGCCATAAGTTCTGAATATATGTCTGTTTCTCTTACCAGTATTTAGAGTGAATATCAAACTAGACAGACTTTGCAACCAGAGACTTACGACTCATGGGTGCAGTCAGCATGCAATTGCTAGAAAGCAGTTTTAGGTGGGCAGGCCTCAAGTGAGTTTCCAACCACATTTTAAATCTTAATCTTAGATCTACTAAGCTGTGGTTTACCAGATCTTGATTTAGAAAGATACTGAACCAATGTCCTCCAGACAAATAAGTTATTATTAAAATATTGTCTAATTAAAGATATGCTCCTATAATAATGAAACACCTACAAAATAATTAAGGGACAGGACCCATGAGATTCGTAAGACTTCATATATTTATATATATATAATATATTATATATATTATGTATATAATATATAATATATATTACATATATTATATAATATATATACATAATATAATATATATTATATATATAATATATATACAT